GCGCAATAGAAAAAAATGTTTGCAAGCTGATTCTGATTACAAGTGGATGATTCTTAATTCAGATGTATATGGGAACTGACTATTAAGCTTTTCAGATAGGGCTGTACGGCAAAATTCAAAATCAAGATAAAGATATTTAAATAGGCAGGTGTTGTCAAATGAGGGCAAACATACAGATTAAAACACCAGCAGTCTCCTTCAGCTTCTTGTGATCTGATTTACCAAAATGCATCTTAATGTAAAGAGAGATTCAGAGGTCAACAACACACTCATTTTTCTGATATTTAGTCCAGGCCTGGTTTACAAATACACTCAGGGATAGGGAACTGAATCAAATGTAAAATCCAATTCATTTATCACAGGCACATCTTGGCTTCTGAGATGTGCCTACAGCATATCAGTAACAAGATGAGCCACAGTGCAATCGAAATCCCTCCAGTTACCCCTCCCTGCTTTCTCCATTTATCACTCACACTTTTTATTGTCTCTTCATGGCGAGTCTGTGCTAGTAAAAGCTGTCATGTGTACAGAATGATTAGTCGGTGCTTTAGTGCTTAAAAAGAAATGTAGGACTGTTTGCTTTTGCAGAAGAGTCATCAAGGAGGATGTTTGATATGCAGCAGTCATCAGAGAAGACTATTAATACCAATATATCCACCTTTTCATTTTGCATTAATAAAACTAATAGAAATTAATTATTTTAATGTGCAATACATTCAAGGTCTGCATACCAAGGCTGCATTCATCAAAAAAAATAAATAAATAAATAAGTAAAATGGACAACACATCACCACTTCTGCTAAAAGTGAACCCAAGATACCTCAAAGATGAATGCTGACATCTTACACTGATGGCTTTATTTGGAGCCAGAGCCTGTGCAGTAGTAATTGAGAAGTGAATATCTTAATAGTTTAATATATATTAGGCTTCATTTACCTGACAATAATATAACCAAAAATGGGGAAAAAATTATATTGAGTTTTTAAAAAAAAGTGTTTTCAACAAAAGATTTACAAAATGATCAACAAAATGTTTATGCATATCTGCGGAAATGTCAAAAATTCTGTATTGTGCATACCAGGCTGATATTTGGCACTATCACCTTCTTAGTAAACAGTACCTGTTGGGAAATTATGTCATGCAGTCGGCAGCTCTGCATTTGGGTCAACAGTATGTCTAATTTGTCATGACCTGTAAACTGCTTTTTGAATGCAATTTGAAGTTAATCCTCACATACAGTTCAACTGGAAGGTATTGATAGCGCTTCACTTTTTCCACATTTTTTTGTTACAGCCTTATTCCAAAATGGATTCAATTCATTTATTTCTTCAAAATTCTACACACAGTACCACATAATACCACATATTTTTTTTAAACTGTTGCAAATTTATAAAAAATAAAAAAACTGAAAAATCCCATGTACATAAGTATTCACAGCCTTCTCAATTACAACAACATTATGATATGTTAATATTAAAGCTTCCATCTCCTCCTGAACCTTGTGAAAAAGTGTGCCTTGGCATGAAATTAGCCACTAATATTAATTAGCAGCGAATATTAATTTACATTAACTAGGGATATGGTTTCTTTCTAACTACTGAGAGATTTCAGCTGCAGTCTGAGCTTTCCATGCCTTTTTACACTTCCCTTTCTTGATGTGTTTAATGCGTTTTCCCTGTGTTATTTCATTTTATTACACACACCTTATTTTCTAAGCTAATTTGTTTTGCTTTCTTTGCATTGTATGTATGGATTACTAACATTCTAAGAATTTAATATTTAGAAGGTTTAAAATGAACCACGTTTATTTGGAAAAACAAACCTTGTGTAATGTAAAGCAAATTTTCATAATGCAGAACAAAATATTTGTGAGCCCGGATACTTGATCAGTATTGTAGGTCTCGGTTTTCTGCATGATTGACTGATGTGAGATGAGCTTTTATAGTCTGAAGCGCTGGTGTATTCTAACAATGAGCTGCAGGCGTGAGGTGTGTATGGTAGAGCATCTGTCCTCAGTCCTGTTAATACTGCTAAGGCCCTGAAGCTAACTGTATGTCAAGGGGCTCATCTAAAGCAAGTAATAACAGAGAATTAAGTCATTTAACTCCTCCTGAGTGGAAAAAAGGATTGACGCGATAAAGTAGGGAGGAGAAAATTAGCCCGAATTCAACATAATGTTCTATAGATGAAATCAGCAGAGTCACTGTAAAAGCAGTGAGTGAACGAATCGGTCCGGACACGTTGAAGTTGTTTGGTAAAATGTGGAAAGAGAGCTGAATGTAACAGCGTGGTAATCCATTGTAGAGCTGTGGGTTTTGTTGGGTCAGAGCCCAATCTGCACTCATGAGGCCCTGCGGCAATGAGTCTCTGTTTCTGTGTTCTTCTGCTCCCTTCCCTCCCACAAACCAGATTACTCACTCTGAGCGAATACTCTAGATTCACTCACAGTGATTTGATGTGTTTTGTTGAGCAGTGATTAACTATGATATCCTGTCATGGAAATCCTCCGAGGATCTTTATCTCAGTGACCTCAGAGCTGTTAATGAATGCTGGTGACAGAAAAATCCCTTATAAGGAAATATTTAGTATGTGGAGTTGTTAGTTTTAGGCCTATACATTCTTACATCCTGCTTCTGATATAATAATTCTGACACTTAAAGAAACACTGCACTTTTTTTGGAAATAGGCTCATTTTACATGTCACCTAGTGTTAAACAGTTGAGTTAGCTTCAAGAGTTCACACTTAGCTCATGATCTATACATAGCTTGTTTGGTGTGCTGTCCCGGGAGAGAGCCCTGAGCTCAAGAGATCCTCCTGTCCAGGGCTCCCCGCTTTCAAAGAGTGACGGGAAAGTGAGCTCAGGTCAATCTCAAACTCCCCTGCTGCTGAGGCCAGTGTGAACTTCCTCAGAGTAAGACATTAGAAAAAAAGATTTAGGCTTATTTTATCTAAAATATAGAGCATACCAGGGAACCCTTTGGGAAACCCACGCGGACACAGGGAGAACATGCACGCTCCGCACTGAAATACCAGATGGCACAGCAAGGACCCGACGCTTTTGGTATTCTCACTGTGAGGCAACAGTGCTAGTCACTGGGCCACCATGCCGCCCTTTCTGAATAAAGGTGGAAGATGGGGAGGAGGGGGGTTTCTTCCAGACAAAGATAGTTGTAGAAAGGAAATGAGGATATATATAGTGACTTGGGATCCTTTGATTGGAAGATCATGATTAGCTAACGAGGGCCAGCTGGGTCAATCATGAGCACGTGCTCCTCTCCAAATTAGTTTAAAATGAAACTTCACGTAGCATAAATAATCGAATTGGATTAGACCATTAGCATCTCGCTCAAAATAAAAGTTTCAATAATTTTTACTATTTATATCTTGACTATTCTGTAGTTATATCATGTACTTGTGACTGACAGAAAATGAAAAGTTGCTATTTTTAGGTCGATATAGCTATGAACTATACTCTGGTGTAATAATCAAGCAATTTTCTGCTGTATCATGGCATATGCAGCACATGAAAATAGTGCCCAGCTGTAATACATGATCATTTTAAAATATTCACATAAAATGATTTAAAATGTTCCTTTTTTCATATTGTACTTAATTACTGTTGTAGTACTGTAAAAAAAAAACATCCAGTAAGAAACATCCTGATTTTACACAGATTAAAATTAATAGAAAATAATGTTCAAACAAGGTTTAAACAAGGCAAAAAATGTAATTTTACAATTATTTACAAAGAACCCGCAAGAAAAGAAAATATAAAAATAAAAATGTATAAAAATGTATTTGAATTTATGAAAGCTGAATGATATTTTCTAATTTTGAATGTAATTAAATTATCGTTTCAGCGATTTTTTAACAATTGGAATAAGTGTTTAAAATACAACACATATAATATAACACATTTATTCATTCATTCATTCATTTTCTTTTCAGCTTAGTCCCTATTATTCGGGGTCGCCACAGCGGAACAAAATGACCAACTTATCCAGCACATATTTTTCGCAGCAGATGCCCTTCCAGCTGCAACCCATCACTGGGAAACACCCACACACTCATTCACACTCATACACTACAAACAATTTAGCTTACTCAATTCAACTATAGCACATGTCTTTGAACTTGTGAGGCAAACCAGAGCACCCGGAGGAAACCCGCGCGAACATGGGGAGAAAATGTAAACTCCACACAGAAATGCCAACTGACTCAGCCGATGCTTGAACCAGTAACCTTCTTGCTGTCCCACTGCGCCACCGTGACGCCCAATATAACACATAAGAAATATTATATCTATATTATTAATTATAATAAAAAAATATACAAAAATACAGTTTTCAAAGTAAATTAACATACATGGCTTAATCGTGAGACTAATTTGTATCCCTGTATTCTTTAAAGTATGGATGAGACACATACTTGCTGGAAAACCTATATATTTATTATTTACAGTAGAAGTCAAAATGATTATCCCTCCTTTGAAATCTTAATAATTAAAAAAATATTTTCCAAGTGCTGTTTAAAAAAGAATATATGTATTTTAACATATTTTTAAACAATAGTTTTAATGACTCATTTCTTTTGCAACTAGTTATTTAGCTCAAAGTGCAATCTAAAGGCTTATCTAGGGTAATTAGGCTAGTTAGATTAATAAGGCATGTGGTTGTTAAACAGTGGTTTGTTCTGTAGCCAATCAAACAAATAATAATTTCGTAAAGGACTGACAATGTTGTATTTAAATTTGTTTTTATAAACTGCCTATACTCCAGCCAAAACTTAAGAAATTACACTTTTAATGTTATTGGAAATACAGTGGAAATGTTCTAATAAACATCACTTGGGACTTATTTAAAAAGAAAAAGAAAAAAAACATTCACAGGAAGGCTAATCATTTTGCCTTCAACTGCATATATATTGCCCAGTTTCAAAAATGTGTTTATAATTGAGCAATTCAACGATGGTCAGTCTCTTGATGTTTGTGTCATTACAGGAGGCTCAAGCATTTATTACAGCCTCTCAGCAAGATGAGGTGACGGAGGAGCAGATTTTGGCTGCGGTTGCAAAGATTCGACCACCAATGGAGAGAATGAGGAGACCCTCAAAGACAGTGGATAAGGAGGAGACTGTGGTAAGTTACCACAAAAAAACCCAAAGCCTTTGCTTTGTACAAGAGATTCATTCATTAACATTGAAGAAGTCTGTTTCTCAGTGAGAATAATGATACACATCATCTATATTGTCTCTCATTGATGTTTCAGGTTAATTTTGGTCTTTTGTTGCATTTTTGTGCCACACTTATAGGGGACAAACTACAGGAAAACTAATGCTGCAATGGAGATGAGACGGATTAACAGAGACTCCTTCTGGGCACGTGCAGAGGTACAGTACAGCTCAACAATCTTTACATCTGGAGTTTCACTTAACAGCTCATTCTTTCTCCAACTATAATTAAGAAGGTTCTTATTTGTATTGCCTTTCCCTCCCATGACATATTTTTATAAACACAAAAAATTCAAAATTTGAATCATCCTGTGAAAACCATTTTTAAAACATTGCGCTATCCTGAAGATAGTACTTTAAAACCTTTGGGCAGGCTCCTCCAGCTTTGTGGGTGTGTCAGATTTCAAATAACAAAATTATCTCTGTTATTTTAAAAGTCACCTATAATGAAAATCATCTGTAAGCTGTTTGAACAGAACTGTGTATGTATTGTGTGTCCACAGTTATATTGGGATGATATAAAGACAATAAGTCTCTTTTTTTCCCTGACGTTAATATAGGATCAAAATCCCTTTCTTTTTAATGCCCACCTTAATGTGACGTAGGAGTGTGGTTTCCTCGCCCACCCATTTGATTGACAGCTGCGTATTAACATGTCTCCGTAGTAACTCGTATGATCATATCAACAAGATAAGATGTGTGCAAAGCTACTGGGATTAAAAGATCTGTTCAGCTCTCTGTGATAATTAACCATCATCAGATGTGACCAAGAATGAGCTTTACAAGTTTAAAATGTTTTTAAAACAGTGCATGTTTGTAATGAATTACAGCGATTTTACCGTCTTTATCACTACAGTCTCATGTTAGTACAGTTATAAAAGAAGACACTTCAATCCCAGTTTGTGGAGGTTAAATCAGGTTTATTTTGTACATTAACATAACAGATATACAGTGGACAGTAACGTGTAACCTGGTACATTTCCTGTGCAAAAACAGTGGAAATTTAACGTGCGCACTGTGTGTGTGTGTGTGTGTGTGTGTGTGTGTGTGTGTGTGTGTGTGTGTGTGTGTGTGTGTGTGTGTGTGTGTGTGTGTCTTTGTGTCTGTATGTGCATGAAATTTGAAACATCGTTGTTTTTGACTCATTGTTGCAGAATTAACTTCACAACAAATACATCAAATAATCATTGGGAGAGTTCTTACTGTAGTATTTCTCAAACCGTCACGTGAGATCTGCTTCATTCATGTCTGTCACTGTGCTGTTTACCTGGCGCAGCCAAGGTGGAGATTGAGGCACACTCTGACAGGCACATGGGAACGGTGGGCGGGGAGAACTAGCGTTAAAGGCACAGCTAACAAAAATAGCTATATTTTGTTCTGAGCAGAAAATCCAATACTCTGAAAGCTGTAATAAATAATTTGATGGGTGTTTTGAGCTGAACATTTAGAGACAGATTACAGATTCTGGTGACACAAGACTTTTCTTGAACAATTGGTAAAATAGGTGCTCTTTAAAGTCAAATCCTTATTCTAATTCTGACAAATCATAAAGTCTGATAAGTCTGACAGTGACTACTGCATAATTGGTTCTTCTGTTTTATGTGACAGAAATGTATTTGTGGTTTGCAGATTAACAAAATCTTTAAAAAAAAATCTTTAAAAATTTTAATTAGTGAAAAAATTATATTTAGTAAAGTACAATTTATTTATAGCAAACGTAATCTTCTACAACTTGTTTATGCTTTATTTTATTTTGCACTTTGGTGATAATCTTCTTTAGTAATAGAGCAACCTCACAGTTGGTCTGCATTCCAAACCATTGAATTGCAAACGCTTACTGTATATTGGTATTGTGCAGCTTTCACATCTATAAAATAAGGAACTAAGAGATAATAAACAGTCAACCAGAAATTATACAGAAAGATCTGGTAATTTTTCAGTTGGCTAGAAGTGCCCCGTAGAGCTTTTTAATGCCAGGTTCAGACTACACACAGTGCATTTAAAATGGGATATATCGCCCTCTGAAGGGCAATTCACAGTGAAACTCAGAAATTCACAGTGAAAAACAGTCTGTGACTCTTCACTTTGTCGTCACAGAAAGATTAGCATATTGATATACATTTTTTCTATGACAGGTTTGTTTATTTTTGTGATGTTGACCAATAAGTGTGCAGATGTTCTTTTGTAAACAACTTTCAAATATAGAGAAGGAAAAGAGAAACAATATAAACACAAGCAAGTCATGTTTATGCTCTTGTTTCCTGAAGTTAGTTGCTAGTTCCAACTTTTTGATGACATCACATGTGTACTTAAAGGGACAGTTCACCCAAAATTACAATTCTGCCATCATTTACTCTCAGGTGATTTTTTTTCCAAACCTGTATATATTTTTGTTCTGCTGAACACAAAGGAAGATAATTTAATGAATGTCAGTATCTAATCAGATCTCGCCTCTTATTTACTCCCTAATATTTATTTTTACAATGTCAGTAAATAGAAGATCAGTTTGGATATTGACATTCTTCCAAATATCTTCCTTTGTGTTCAGCAGAACAAAAATAAATTTATACAGGTCTGAAACAACCTGAGGGTGAGTAAATAATGACAGAATTTTTATGTTTTGGTGAAATATCCCTTTAAAGACAGAAATGATGATTGGTTAAGATCGTTTGTTTCTTACTCATGACACAACAGTGTGACTTTTTTGTAACAGGCAAAAATATGTTGTAAAGTGTTTTCATTTTATTATTATGTGTATTTTCAGTGCTACTAAAAGTAGTTTATCATAAATTTGTGCCAAATAATGTGTTTTAGCGTGAGGAAGAGGAGAGAAAGGAAGAAGAACGTCGAAGGGCTCTAGAAGACAGGCGACGCTGGGAGAGAGAAAGAGTCCTGAAAGAAAAAAAAGAGGCTGAAGAAAGAGACCGAAAGATGAATGAAAAGCTGCAGATGATTGAAGAACAGAGGTTTGTATGGTACACCTCATAAAAGCCTGCTTTTGTCTGAAGGGATAAGTCCATCTTTCAGCTTCAACTGCCTGCTGATTTTATTTCTCAGGAGGATCCAGGCTCAGCTTGAGGAAGAAGGTCGAAAAGTGGAGAAGTCGAAATGGGTGAGTGTGTCCGTGACTGCATTTACACTCATTCTCTGAGGTTTAAAATCATATAGTAATGTTGTGTTGTTTGTTTAATTGACAGGAGCAGCAGCAGAGAGAGCATGAGGAGGACATGAGGGCTCGGCTCAGACGCAGCGAGTCTATTGAGAAAGCAGCAGTGAGTTTTTTCTTCAGACCTCATAACCTGAATTAAATGTAGTGTAATCCCAGTACTAAGCTACAGTGTCAAACAGCCACAGCCTTGGAGAATTTATTTCCAACCCTGCTTTAGCACACTTATCTGTAGGTTTCAGTTTTATCATAGGAATCATAGGATTTGTAATCTTCATTTCATCCTACGGGACTCCTGCAGAAATCATGTTCACGGATGAGCTAAAGTATTCAAAACTTGTTATTATAGTTGTATGGAGCAGAGTAAGACTAAAATCCATTGACATGAAATGAGAGTGCTTGAGTAATTGGTGGTGAGAAATAAGAGCGTGACACAGCAAGAAGAAGTGGAGCTTTTATTATGCCACAGTTGAACACTTCTGGTTCTTTTGGTTATGATCACCTGAAGAAGAAGCAGCACAGTTTGATCATACTAAATATGTTTTAGAGTTTTTTATAATGTTGTTCTGTGCAGTCTAATAAAGCAACAACATATTAAAGCATATTGTGTTATAAGCTTTAATATTTATTTATTACTTTTATTAGCTGTGATTTTCAGAAGAATAAAAAAATAAGAGGAATGATAATAAAAAAGCATATATAGCCATTAGATTATGTTAAGTGCAAGACAAAATAAATGTATTACCTAGCCTCACTGCGACAAGAATAAACATAGTTTATACATAATCATATTGAGCATGTTTAAATGTGTAAACATACTTTATTTTACTTAGTTAAGGCAATTACACTTACAACCACAAATCAGAAAAAGTTGGGACAGTATAGAAAACACAAATAAAAAGAATGTAGTGATTTCTCAATATAGACAATATGAACACAAACTATTTCATGTTTTGTTTGTTGAACTTGATTTCATTACAGTATGTACATCGTTTCCTGTCATTCTGACCTGCAACACGTTCCAAAAAAAGTTTGGATAGGAACAATTCAGGGCTAGTAATCAGTTAAATGGGTTAAATAATGTCATTTGCAACAGGGGATAAATGTGATTTGGTACAAAAGCAGCATACAAGAAAGGTCTAGTCCTTTCTTAGAGCAAAGATGGGTCGAGGACTGCCAGTTTGCCAACCAATAAGTGAGAAAATTATTGAACTGTTCAAAAAACATGTTCCTCAAAGAAAGATAGGAAGTAGGGTTGGGCATCTAAGCTATAATGCCGATCCGATACGCATCTCGATACAAAGAATACGATCCGATATATTAGCGATACATTTGTGACATATTGCGATGCAACACGATACGATTCACACCCATATCACGATACGATGCGATATTTCAGCACTAACTAATTAGATCAAGTTTATGAGATGATGTGAAAGAGGATGCTGTGCCATTGAATGAGTTTGATTATTTATTAACCAAGCAAAACCAAGACTTTTTTTACAAACTGGCTTCTCTCAGAGCCAGAGTGTCAGTTTACAGTAGAGGGCCATTTTAGAACATATAGCACATATTATTTAAGTATTTTCAAGATAAACAGAATGTATAAGTGCAATACATATTAAATTATATATATATATTTGCACTCTTTTAACATAAAGGTTTACCATTGCACAACAAGAATTGTGATTTAACTTTTCAACTATGAAAACAAGACAAAATAAATGTATTACCTAGCCTCCCCATTATTGACACCCATTATTTTTATCATTATTATTATTAATATTATTATTATTATTATTTTAATTAAATAAAAATTAACAGGAGGAGGTGTTTAAAACCTTCGTTCTCCGTGACACTAGGCTGAATATCTTTGCAGATGAACAATGCAATAGCATTCGTTATTGGCGTAGAGCGCATAAAACTGTTGCGCATGGAAAAAAAAACTTGCAATGCTTTTCTCACCACTTTTGGAGCTGGTTGAAGCAGTGCAGGAAGCCAGGGATGCAGGAACACTGGAAGATGCTTTCACAACAACACCGTGGCGCCGCTTCAAGTGAGATTTCAGATTAGTCATACTGCCCGCGTATTTTACAGATGCGCGGCACATTTTGCAAATTGCATCTGTCCTGTCATGTCGTCCATCCTTAAATCCATAATGTTGCTTGCCATACTTTAGATTTAAACTCAGTGAGGAATAAAATGTTTGTTTTGCTTCTCGCGCTTTCTGAGGGCGCACCACTAGCTTCATCCGCACACCTGATACACTGAGTTGTAGTGTAAGTGTACACATCCGCAAATCCGTTGCTAAGGCTTACTTTATGTAGGTCGATTAAATTATGCGCCAAAAACAGGTTGACAACACTTGTTAATAAATAAAAAATACATTCTATATTAAAAATATAAGCTGTATCTCGGAAAAATCGATGCATCTCGCAAAAACCGATGCATCTCGATTTGCTTCCAAAATTTCATTCATCCTCTGCTGCTCAACCGATGCACTCGCATCGTTCACGCGCATGACAGCGTATCGATACATATCGATTAATCTTCCCATCCCTAATAGGAAGACATTTGGATATTTCACCTTCAACTGTGCATAACATAATTAAAAGATTCAAAGAATCTGGTGGAATTTCAGCACTTAGAAAAGGGCGTAAGCCTAAGCTGAACTACGGTGATCTCTGATCCCACAAATGGTCCTGCATCAGGAATCATTTATCTATAATCAATATCACCACATGGGCTCAGAATTACTTTGGCAAACCTGTCAAGTACCACGATACATAGTTACATCAACAAATTTCAGTTTAAACTGTACTGTGCCCAAAGAAACCCCTACCATCCACCCTACCAGTGGAAGCATGTACTGTGGTCTGATGAATCAGTATTTCAGGTCTTTTTTAGGAGAAATGGACACCGTGTCCTCCGGACCAAAGAAGAGAAAGATCATCCAGACTGTTATCAACAACAAGTCCAAAAGCCAGGGTCTGTCATGGTATGGGGATGTGTTAGTGTCCTTAGCAAAGATAACATTGAATGTGTGGTGCATTTTGAAGCATGACGACCCTGTACTGTTGCCCACCTTAAGACTTGTTTGCAGGAATAATCGGACCAAATTACATCCGAAACACTTCATCACTTGGTGTCTTCAGTCCTTAAATGAATGACAACTTTTGAGTAGCATCATTACAAAGTGGTAAATGCTTCACTGTTCCAACTTTTGAAATGTGTTGAAAGAACCAAAATTGGAATTTGTGAATATTAAAAAAATTCATAAAAATTCTGAGAAATACAATAAATAATGTTTGTTGCATTGTCTGCAATTAAATACAAGTCAAAGTAAATTTACAAAAAAAAAAAAAAAAAGTTAAAATTACTACTACATTTTTTAAATTTGCTTTCCATACTGTCCCAACTTTTTTCTGATTTGGGGTTGCACATTACAAACATTTACAATAGTAAACCATAATAATTCATGTAACACTGCTTAAATGCGATAGAAAATTTGATTAAATTCTACCTATGTATATCATTTAATCTGTGTACAGTATGACTTTGGGCTTTACATGACCACTTATTAATCGGGCAGATAGTCATTGGTTTATAAATGTGTGATATGTTTCCCCAATTGATTGATTGTAAGGAAATGTTTGTTTAGTTTTGCATTCTGATAGCTTTTGATTGGGCCACCACTTTGTCCCGAAGCAAAACTAACTAAGACCCTCTTGCTTTATTAAATCAAACACATTTATGCCAAGTTCAGACTGCATGATTTTTAAAGTAGTCGTGTCACAGATGTTTTTACACTGCTTGACTATCTAAGCTAGCGTTTTGTCGCTGCTTTGTTTACACTGCAAGATGGATCAGCGACAGGGGCTTTCTCATTGCATAACTTTACAATAGGAAGAATTTTGTCTCACAGCCAAAAACACGTAGTATATTTTTTGTTATTAACTACACAACGAGAAAGAAGCCTTTAATGGGGTAGAAAATGTACATATTTGCTCACCTGAGTTTGGAAGGAATTAGCAATTTCTTCTCAACTTTCTTTTTTAACTTTCTGTTTAAAACGTCAAAGAGACACGGGCGCTCCTGTCAAACCTCTAGTTTTTTCTCAATTTCTTGGGTCCAAATAAGTTGGCCTTATGCTGGCCTGCAGGTACACACACACACAAGTGAATGCTGCTCTCTCATTGGCTTTAGGTGATCGCTGATGTTATTTTCAGTCAAAACTCATTTCACACGGCATGATTTAAATCGCAGACAGCTCCAGTTCCCCTTCGGGGGGAACTCCAGCACTATAAGTGGATTTGATTGTTAAAATCCACGCATTGGGAGGTTCGGTTCAGAAGCTACTCGTCTGAAAGAGTATTGAACGGGCCAATTAAGAATGAATTGGCAGCGCAAGCCTGCGCAGGTGAGCGGCATAAGCAATCAACTGAGTATATAAGCTCACCTGGCGCCAGCAGACGCTATCCTTTTCGCTTCAGAGACTTTTCTGATCGAGCTTCATGAGGGTTCCTCCTGCTGTCTACAGCCACTTAGAGCGAACGAGTGTCTCCCGGTCCAGAGCGAATCCACGCAGCGGCAGATGGTCGAGCTGGGTTTCTCCCTTGCCTGGCGTCCCTTTGGGTCCGGTCCTCCAGAGCGGTGCGTATTGTTGCAAAGCATCCTAAAAGAGCAACACAGTCGTGCAGCACGTCCTTTTCAGGACGGCGCTCCGACTGTGCGTTTCTGGTTGCGGGGGTTTCCTGGCTCCGGATGATGGGCACGATCACTGCATTACATGTTTGGGGGTCCAGCGTGTTAATGTGGTGCTCGGGGGCGGTTCATGTCGTCACTACGATGCCATGACCGTCGCGCAGTTGAGATCGCGGCAAACTCTAGTGAGAGACCGAGCCACCCCAGTCGCCTCCTGTTCTGCAGCGGGCGCTCGGGCAGATCTGAGGGTTCCAGCGAGAGATAATCCGCCGCCTAAGGGCTCGCGGACCTCTCGCTCCTCCAAGCGCTCCATCCAAGCTTCGGGCGCTGGGAGTGATCCGTCAAATCAGATGGTAGCTCTCACGCTCGCTGTCACCGGAGATCAGATGTCCTCCGCGGCAT